CAACATTGAACGCTGACTTCAAATCTGCCTCCTCTGCAGACCACTTTTGTGGATGGAATTATAAGCCGTTAAAAGTCATTATTTTGCTAAGAAATTCTGTGTGTAAAGGGCAAACTTGGCCGTACAGAGCCAATCCTGGCTCAGTGCTAGACACATGCAGCTAGGCTACATCATAAGGCCAGTACCTGAAGATGAGCGAAAAGGGCAATAAGGTGCCTAACCTCGCAATCTATGTGTACGAATTTTTCACACTAAAGCTCAGTAGCTCAGTAGCTCACTAAAGCTTAAAGTCATAGCCTCGCTTACAAAGGCGCTCTGCAGATATGGAAAACAAATTTGAAATCAGCGTTCTAAATTGCATCGAATGGTATGCAGCTTGTTTGGATTGGCTACTTCGACTTCTGACCATTCCCTTGCAAGCTATCTCCAAAGCGCTAAAAGAGCACTTTCTTAACTTTTTGACAGTCCCGGACTCAACGGATCCAGAAAGCCGCGTAGATGTGATAAGCTCGCAGTCGCAATTTGGTCGAGACACTGCCTTTAACCCTTTCGGACCTGAGTTTTTGCGAGTGAGCCGAGAAGCCTCTCTCCTAGTGTTTTTTACTTATTACCATATGAATAACATTATAGCGGAGTTTGGAGTCTGCTTAACCTTATGAACTATTTCTTTTTGATTTTTCAATTTTTTGGTTTTGCGCTTATTTTGGATTTTCAAATCTCCCGCGAAACATGTGGACCCGCAAACAGTTAACAGTTACATTTGCTCAGCATCGTACCAAAACATTATGATAATATTATGAATATTTTTTGGCTAATAAACGAGATGTTGAAACGGTGCTCACCGGCGCAAATTATTGATTGGTTGAAATCCACTTGTTTACAGAAATGTACATGCTATTCACAGAGAAGCAAATGAACACCCGGTCTCGAAGCCACATTTGGAAGGCAAAGGCTATATGAAGCGTTTGAGAGCAATGAGTAGTGAAATGATGTTCTTGCGCCAGTATAATAGATCTCTGAATTGATGGTGGCAATTGCCACCACCAGGTCCGAAAGGGTTAAAGGCAGCGTCTGGGCAGATATGAAAATTTAGCGTATAGGGCTCCCGCGCTGATAAAGCTCTAACCCAAGTGGCACTGCACCACTCCGCTTCTGAAGCGAGAAAACAGCTTCAAGATGGCGATCGGGACGCCTCGACGACCTGCCCTCCCTTCAATCGATAACCAGAGTCTGTATGTCGCACACAGTCAAGGCGTAGGGTCCCACCACGGCTCTGCGGGTTGACCTCGGCGGCAAGCTTTCATATTCGGAATCAACAGCTTTTGGAACAGCCCGTTCTCGACATTTTCGTACTCTGCAAGCTGCATTTTCGGAAACAGCGGGACGAATAAGCCCAGGTAAGCGAAAAAAAAAGTTTTGTTCGAAATTGGCCGGACGCTGCCTTCAAGCACAAAGGGAACGTTTGAAGCATGTGCATTAAGGGCAGCGAAGATAGGATCGTGCACTCTCGATAAAGGGGTATTTTTGTCGTCATACCCCACCTATTACATGACATAACAAAATTTCATTTATAAGACATTTCGCTACCCCGACCTTTTCTCATAAACAAATATGTATACCAGGAACAATATCACGAGCTTTATAGGCAGTGGACTGCAATAGCAAAAGAGCGAATTTCTTGTACACATAGTGCGTCTCAGACTGAACATCCCAACTGCTCAGTGCAGCTCACAGAAACCCACAAAATGCAGCCCTTAGTCGCCCTCTATCACCCTTCTGCTTTTGAACGGTGGCCGACGATTGCAAAATGTTCGCTGCAAGCTAAATAAAACAATTTAACAAAACTTCATGCATCGCTCAATCAAAAACACGAAAACATTTGAATCACTTGAGGTTTATCGGAACAGGGTGTGGTGCGGAAGGCGACAATCCCCAATTTTATGCCTATCAAGAACTCTCCGGTGTCAAAGTGACACCCCGGGGGACTACGGGGGTGGGGGTGGGGGCAGATACATTACTCAATGCCACAAGTAGAAATCCGTGAAAGTCATTGAGACGGATGATACACAGCCTCCATTTTTCGCCGATTGTCGCCTTCCGCGTGCCCCCCATCGGAACATTGTACTTGCCGTGCACGGGCTTTTTAAAGCACTGTTCACCCAGATTCTCACCATTTTCCCCGACCCTCGCTTTTCGACAGGGCTCCATACAGGACTGCTTATTCAACTGCCGGAAAAACAAACATCTCGAGTCTGATAAAGAAAATTATAGGAATTTATCACATTCCAAAAAGCAGAGCTCCAAAACCATTTTTATCGACTATTCAAGATAATTTTCAGATAATATATCTGCAGATACGCAAAAGAGGAAGAGCCACAAGCGAGGCGGTATTCACTTTAGTTTTAATAATCGACTACCCTTTTAAACGCGCTATCTCTATTGCTAGTGATGGTGCATCTACTCACATAAGACTATAAAGAGGGCAAAACCTGTAAAGACAAGATTTCTTAAGAATTTTTCAAAGAACCTGTTTGGATCTGGGAATATATTGTCGTATTCCGAAAGCACCTTAATAATGTACAACTTCTTGCCGAAGCCACTGCGATTTGATATAGACGTCATCCGTTTAGTCACCTCGCTGCGATGTGTGTTACTGCACCCAAATTTGAAATCCCGAATGAGAAGCCGGGGTCCCGCCACCGTACTAACACCACGTGCATATACGGCTAAAATTTGACGCCAAGCTGCCTGTTTCTCATATTTTGATGGTTTTTGTCCTTTTCACGCACGGTCTAATTCTCGATGATTTGCACCTTTATACGTCATGCATGCCGTTTTAGATCGAATATCCCAAGATTTATCGCCTTACTTTCAGTAAGAAAATCAGATGGGCAGTTTTGCAAAATTCTGGAATAAGTCTGCTAATCAAGTGTTGTGCAGCTGCAGCAGGCAACCAGTAAACTGAAAAAGATACCAACCTGCTAAAAGCAATACTAATCGACTTGAAAAAAGCTTCTTAAAAGAAGGTTAGCGTAAAAAAACTAATTTGATATCAGTGAGTAGTCAGTTGAAACTTGTACTGCCTAAGGGGTACTCTACTCTTTTTACATAAGACAATGCTGAAGAAAGCAGACTCACTTCAAAATACTGCGAGATTGCCCATCTATCTTTTTTACCTGCAAGTAAAAGTGATGAGCTTGGGATATTCGATTTAGAACGGCATGCATGACGTATGAAGAGAACAAATCATCGAAAATTAGACCATGCCTAACGCTAAGAACGAAAAAAGCATCGAAACGTGAGAACAGGCACTTTGGCTTCAAATTTTGGCCATACTGTGCACTCGAGTACGGCACGATGCGACTAAATTGCTTCATCCGGGTTTCCAAATTTGTGTGCAGTAACACACATCGCACCGAGGTGACTAGACGGATACTATCTTTGTGAAAAGTAGCGGTGGATGATGAAAGAAAAGGGGAGTAACAATTTTGTAAATAAAGTTTTCTAATTTGAAACTCGAAAGTTTTCTAATTTGAAACTTGGTTTTGTAGCAGGAAAAGCAGTCGAACACTATACGCGAACACAGGCAAACTTTGTCTAGGGACTTCAACTCTCCTTAAAGACTAGATTCTAGCTTTGAAAGACGCCGCCGCCGTCAGCGTTTTTAGCTAAATCGGTACGGAAAAGCGTGATATATTTCTTAAGTTTACACGTATCATAAATACATTCATACATTCACGGTATCATGTTTTTTAGTTGAATTTTCTCACTACGCTGCTCGGTAGATGCCGCAATTGAATATATTAACAAAGCCTCACTTTGATTTCTTGTGAAAATTACAAATAGTACAATATTCTCAAAAACGAAGATGAGCTGAGCCATTAACCGTAGGGCTATGAGTCATTCAATGTCTTTTCAGTGTAAAGAAAAACACTCGATTCAAACGAGTTTCTTTGCAAACTGAAAACTAGTTAATTCCACAGTTTTGTAATAATTTTATAAAACAAATTACGAGTTTAGATATTAAAGGCAGCGTCCTGGCAGATTTTGCACTTCCACCTTTCTGCACGTTTTAGGCCTCTTCGCCATGTAACCCGAATATGAGCTTTGAACGGGCTGAAAAGGCCGATTTTGGGGTGTTTTCTCAATTCCACAATTCCAAAAAAGCAGCTCGGACGAGGTTTTCGATGGAAAGTTGCGAGGTCCTCACACGAAGACCCGCTGCCTGTAATTTTTGCTTTGGATAGCATGCACAGTGAGGGAGAGCGGTCGTGGGGTCCCACGCCGAACACAGAAGGAAAGCCGTCCCAGCCAGGGCCCGGCACGCATTGGTTCGAGGTCAAACTGGACTTCGTTTTTGAGGGTGAAACCAAAGGGGACTTCGTTTTTATGAGGTTCTGGAGGAAGCGCCAAAAAAAAACACGACGAACATGTCAGGTTTTACGGGTTGAACGTGTTCTTTCGCAAGCGCGCGAATTTCAAATGCAAGACTCAAACAAACAAATGGCTTGTTTACAGCGCACAAACAATCACATGGCTCCGAATTTGGGCTATGTGTATACAATATTACTCCAAACTATGTTATGCAAAAAGTTCCAAAAACTTATGTGTCTGAATACCCGTTCCGGATTTGTTGGTTTCAAAACCAACCACCGAACCAACTGGGTTGGTTCAGAGCATAAATTTCGGAGAGTTCACATAAGTTTTGGACCTTTTTGGTTTGGACGATTAAAGCGCTCAAAAATCTATAATATGGTGAAGAGAGCAAATCAAACCATGGCCTCTGCTCTTTTTACGAGCCAAATATAATATGAAAATAGAGGCTTTGATAGATATTATGCTCCAATCACATGTGTGTACCGGCGCCCTTTGAAGTGGCGCCAATTGCATCATTTCATTTTTACTTATCTCGTCATGTGCTCCTCTTCGTTTTCTTCTCTTTCCGTCTCTTTGTGTCTTTTTCTGTCTTCTTCTTTGTTTTTAATATTCTTTCGTTTCAGAAAGTATTCGCAATGGAGCCGAACAAACTCAACAACAAGAAAGACGGATGGTACGACAAGAGACAGCCAAGGTGAGTTTGATTTATTTTGATTTTTCATTGTTTGATTTGTTAGCTTACCTCGCTATTCCACATTAGGCTTTGGGCAGAATTCACGCGATTTGGTCGTCGCGATTAAACGCGACATGAAAACTTTGACACTATCATTGCATGCCGATCTTCTTGCATTTCGGTTGTGATAGTTTTCCAACACGACTAGTTGTAACTTACTATCACCACCGAAATACTAAAAGATGACATGCAATGAACTCGCAACACTTGTCTTGTAGCGAATCGCGACGATCAAATCGCGTGAAAGGCCTAACAGGACGAAAGTGCATCTGCGAGCTTCGCCAACACTCATGTCGCGCAATTTTTGGCACATAATGCTTGTCACGTGTCGTTCAATAATAATGCTGAAAGATTCATATTGCATTTGAGGGGGCAGTTCTCTTTTCATAGCAGTCTTTCAATGGAATTATGTTTTTTATTGATAACTACGATGGAAACTTTGGAGAAGCTGAAATTATCCTCTTGTTTTTGACGAGTTATTTGCAGTTGCTCGTTTGGAAGGGTTGCCTGCACTATTTTACAATGAACGTCAGAAGTAGTCATCTTCTTCTGTGCATTTCTCGGTTCTAGAAAAAAACGGCGCCAGCCACACTCAAGACAGCTGCAGATTTTTTGTAACCTAATGCAAAGAACCATTAGTTGGTGTTTGGTGTTTTCTTGCAGTAAATTCTTCTCTATTGACTTGGTCGTTCGAAGCATTTCTGAAGCTTTTTTTGCTTAGGAATATTAATTTCGGTCAAAAGCCTCATAACAACCTTCTGGACACCATACGTGCACATTTCGAGACTTTTTCATTTTCAGTTCATCGAAATGAAGTATTGAAATTGCTGCCAGTCGAAAGTGACAATACTTTCTGCTTTTTATGGTTGTTTTCGAATTACGGCATTTGATGATTTTACAATTCACATTACATTATGGAGAACTTATTACCTTATCTTGCTTCATTTAACAACAAATCTATGGAGTAAATCTGCGTGCGGGCATATCAAGAGTTTTGCTTCATCAATTCGTCCTAAGCGCAGCTTTCGATACCCGCTTCTTTCTTTTCGCTCCTTCACCTTTGCTTCTAATCTGTCTTTTATACTAGACACGCTATCTTGGTATGCTAGCGCATCACCTCGGTTACCAAGACTGTTTACCTTCTGCAAAAGGATGCTTTTGTGAATGTTCACTCCCCGCTACTCACCTTAGCCAAGCGCACGCAGGTGTTGACATTCGCTATGATTGAAATTATAATTCAATTTCGAAATTTGACGATTTCTTCGATTGAAAAAGCGACGGTTGCCCGGCAGCATCTACGAGATTGATGCTGAATATAATTGAGCCTGAAACCTTTAGCAGGACGGCCATAAAATCGTCGTTTTCTTCCTTCCACGCGTGAATTTTGATTCCATGATTTATCACAGCTCGAAAAAATTTTGTCTCTGATCGCTCTTATATTAAGTAGATAAGTGATATTAATGTATTGTGTCTTTGGAATCCAGCGTTATTTGGTAGGCTGAACACCAGTATGATGCTTATTTCGTGCGACAGCGCCATCCGGTGGAGTTACGGTAGGATTACGGTAGGGGGTCAAAATCACGGATTTGCCCGAAACTTCGTCCAGAGGGGTTATTCGACCCGCTGATGTTGAATATCACATTGGTTTTGTACCGTAGCGTCATTTTCTCGGGTTACGGCGGGTTTACGGTAGGGGGTCAAAATCTCAAAATTTGCTGTAACTTCGCACTGAGGGGTTATTCGACATGCTGATTAGAAATGTCACACTTTCTCCGCACGAAAATTCTTCCCTCCATGGTTACTCTAGGCTTACGGTAGGGATCGAAATCACAAATCGGCAAATGTATCTTTCCCCTGTGCTTTGTATGATGAGAACACTATAATGAAGGTTAGCCTAATATTTTTTAGGTATAAGTGGCGCTATTTCAAAAGTCTCATTTTCCTCTTTTTGGCCGTTAACGTCAAAGTCGCATATCATTCTATTTTTAGGTACTCCAGCCATCCATGAAATGTGATTGTCCCACTTTCGGGGTCATCGATGGTTTTGCGCATTTGACAAATTTGGTTCTCCTGCTTCTATCTTTTTTTTCCAGTACAGACTGGTGAGTTTTGAATTTTTTAATGCTCAATTTTTATGCCAGAAAAATCTCATTCAGATGAAGCAGAATCAGGAAATCGACAACAACATCCGCCAGAATCAGGCGCAGATTCCCAACATTCCCGCATTCTACCGCCAGGATATCCCTGCGCTGATGGCACGTCCAGCTAACCCGTTCTTGAATTAAAGCACCTGAACGAAGGCGACGTATCTTCACTTCATCTCTACCTTTGTCACACTTTTATTTTTGCTAATTGTTTTTTCATTTTCACCATTTTGAGGCTTTCAAAAAGCACATTTTTTTCGCCACACTTTTGAATCGAAATTGCTGTATCGTTCGAAAAACTTGAATTTCGAGATTTTTTTTGTTCACATACTGATCTCTTTAACACGTCTGCAGCACTAGCTGCCCAAAGCTGAGAATTTTTTGCTATGGATCTCATTAACACGGACCTCAGCACATTCCTTTACATTCCTTTGCTCATTTCAGTCGTCAAAATGCCTTTTGTGTCACGTGTATGTTGCCTTAATAAACACTTATGCTGGAAAAGTTTGTCGAATGTTGAAGGCCCTAGCCAGACTTCGCTCAGAAGAGCTCAAAAGCGCCCAAAAGCGCCCAAACTTCTCTAACCCCCCCCCCCCCTTCTCACTCTCTCTCATCTCTCCTCACACGAGAAAGTGAAGAGACAACAAAGAAATTTGGGCGCTTTAGGGCGCTTTTAAGCGCTTTTTGGCGCTTTTGAGCGAAGTGTGGCAAGGGCCAAAGCCTCAGAATGCCAGGCACCCCAATTTTGGGGTCAAAGGGGGACTTCGTAAAAATCTTCGGAGTCATGGGGGACTTCGTTTTCAAAAATCCTCCAAACCAACGCGTGCCGGGCCCTGGTCCCAGCGCGCCGATTGGGGTTGCGCGCGCCGGTTCAAGGGGCATTTTCTCGGCCCTCGGGGAATATCAACCAGCCGAATTGCGGTTGGAGGTCAGTGGGGTGGCCAGGAAGAACCCCACCACACCTATATGCCCCAGGGCGCGAATCTGGCGGGACACTGCCTTTAAGAACTATGTTTCATCTTGCACACTCTCCCACAGATTCTGCAAGCCCAGAAATCATGGGTGACTCAAAAAAGGGGTGGATAAGGAGATGGCGCCGATAAGCCTCATCCTTCGCCCACAGCTGATACAAACTGCAGCTACATATTATGTGTAAAGAGGCTAGACCGCTGCATATGACCGTGCGAGAGTTCCCCTTCTCTTTGGCGCATTACGTTCTCTACGCTAAAAAAATGCCTCTTGGCGGTGATGTTCGAAGACATCGTGTTTGGCCAGTTTTAATATGGAACGACAAATGAAAGAGCCCCTATAAATTTGGGAGGACCTAGAAGATTTATCAGGTAATACACATTCAAGTAAAAAGCTGTTGACTTTTTGAGTGCTGCGTTTTCACATATCATCCCAACTGCTGTTTTCAGGGAGCAGCGGACATATTGTCACTTCTTTCATGCGACTTTCTCGTGTGCCTGCGAGCATTTAGAATAGCGAATAAGTTTTTTTGGAAGAATCGCCATATCCTAGTCGATGCCATATTCTTAATGCCTTCCTTCACTATCATTCTTAGATGTGTCGGCATTACAATGATTTCATTACAAAGATATGTAACAATATGTAGAAGACAGACAAAAATAGAGACGGTAAGCAATTTTGAATGTGTTTCTAGTGAACAACTTTGAATGCGCGGCTATCCGCGATAGTCGCATTCGCATCTTCCATTGACTTTACTATTTAAAATTTTCTGGTCGACTTCCCACTCCCCCACCCCCAAAAAATGAAACATGTTTTTGCAGCTTATGGTAAAAATCCCTTGGTATGTATTGATATGTTTGCACTGGGGTGTCCCCATTGTCACGGTGGCTCCCTCAATGGTGATACTTGACGTCAGCTTTGACTCTCAAGAGAACTTGACGCTGGTGATGGGTCGCAATAGCTTCCAGGTACCGCATTCAGTCTTTTCCCCCAGTACAACTCCATCATCTCCCAATCACTATAGCTAACGGAGATGGTCATTGCTCGCATCAAAAAATAATGCTTAATTTTTTTCGTTTACTTCTCAAAAAGAAAAAGAACAAGTGGTTGCTTGGCAGGGTAATTCCTCAAAAAAGGCTAACATGACTGTAACCTTATTCGAAAAATGGTCTTCTTTTAACTGCATCGGTCGACTTTTATCAAGCACATTTCTGTGGAATTCCATTCACTGATGACGATCACGGAAAACGCATCGCGGGTCCTACCGTGTTCGTTTATCAAATTAGCGCCTTACAAGGCTGTAATAAACCCCCACCACAAAAGTATATGCGTAGCAACAAGCTCGGGTCTGCTCGGCTTCATTGTAAGGGTTTAGTGTGCATGTAAAAGTACTATAGCACAGTATAAAGTATGCTGGACGTTTAATATGCAAACAACAAAATATTCCTTTAATTTCGATGCGAGAGAAAGTATTAATGATGCTGCAAACGTCCTAGACAAGCAGTGTTTACGGCGCTGAGCTTTTGATAATTTTTATGCCGCAAACGCGATCCAGTTTCACAAAGAAGCAAGATAAATACTACGCAAATTAGCATAACGAAAGAGTCGTTCATTTTTAGCTTGCCAATATAGCCCCACTAACGTATGCCATAGTAGCAAGTTTTATTTCCACAGTATGCTACTCATGCGTCGTCATTTACGTCAGGCAGTGTACACCTTGGTAAAGACTATCATTCCTGTCGCTTCTGGTGCATCCAAATAAGGAGGAAGATATCTATGTTTAGGAGAAGAAAACAAGTCGTTCGTCTCATCTTTGAATTCAGTGGTCTAGTGCTCTCTTTACTCCTAGTTTCCATTCTCTATGCGACCGTACGCTTCCAACCTTGGGTATGCCTTTATTTGTTCGTATAGGAAAGATTACGTTTTTATAGGGGGATTTTTTGCTACAAATCATGCGCGTATATCCAGTAGTGAACGTTATTCTATCATCTATACATCCTTGGATATACTTCATCTTCAACAGTGAAATAAGAGCCGAAGTGATAAAAATGACAAGATGTCAGAAAATTGCAAAAGTAAGCTACTTGTACAGAGCATTGCGCTGCGGAGGCTAATAAGATTAGAGTGTCGTTTGATAACCTTCTAATCACGCCGTTAAAACCAGGTCAAAACTTTATATAGTGACATCTCTATCCATAAAAAGTCAGTATTTTTCCTCATGACGCGATTTGTCTGCTACAGGCTCAAGTCACCGCTCTCACAAACGATGTCAAACCGAGAAAGACGTGAACTTGATGAGTTGGAAAACTTGTTGTGAAACATACCGATAAAGCTTGCTACGTCACTTTTTACTATTGTTTATAACGATTTGATAGTAATAAAAATCTAATGCCTCAGTGAGTGAATGCACCACTTAGCCCGATACACATACATTACATTACATTACATTACATTCCCGCTGGGGACGGGAGCTAATCTATGAGAAGACGCGTCATATTCCATTACCCTAGATATCTGTATTCTTGTTTGGTTTTCTATGCTATAAATGCTCTTATACCTACCATACTTGAGTATCATGGATGGTAGGTCATTGCCATAAGTGCTGCGATTTTCATCATTCCGCGTCATCCCTTGGGGGATCCCCGGTGAATCAGCGATTTTTTCCAATGTCGTCTACCTTTCAAGAAGTCGATGAAAACGCCGTAGTGAGTGCTGAGGATCTACTATGGCATTGTCCTAAGGATATTTTTGACAAAACGAATGGATTGTGCAGGCTGTGAGTTCTCGATGACAACCTCAACTCGCGACAGCAATCATCAAAGATTTCGTTTCGTATTCTGAGATTTCCATAAGTTCTAATATAAACAGTGTCAGAGAATATCCTCGGCGCAGTTTTACAGCATTTAAATCGAGTTCATAGGAGAAAAAATGACTTCGAAAGTAAGGTGATCCTCTAGGGATTCTTAACACACGAAACAGCAAAACTCAGTTATGGCTATCCTCGTTATCCATTTGCTCATTTGCTTTGTTAGGATGTGTACACCTAAAAAGACAGGTAGGGAAACAAAATCAGCGTTTAATGTTCTTCAAAAATATATGCATCTCTTTTAAAAGGGTCATTTTTACTAAGAAATCCTCTGTCCTAAATTGATAGAGCGAGACTACAAGGCACAAAACTTTTTCAGATTCTCTCTATCACTCTTAACGCTTTTGCAGAAACCTGAAAACGTATCACTTATGGTTTACAAAAATGGCAAACCTCGCTTTGCGCGTTCAATGCTTGATTATTGTTGAGTTCTAATTATGAAACAAATGGAAATCTACATGGGGAACGGATATTATCGACTCCTGGACGACGATTAAATTTTTTCAAGCAAGGCAGCTTGCTACCTACATGGTCTACAAAACTGGCCGCTAGTATTGCGCCCGCGTGAATCTTTGGTACAGTGACTTGATCATCTCTTGACAATCGACTTTAGGCTGGCTTTATACTGAACTGTGAGTTCCGGTATTCGATCCTAGCAGCCAACTACATCGATAACAAAGATCGTCGTTCAATCTTGATACCTACGGATGTGCCCGTTAATCAAAAAATGCAAAAACGCTTGAGGAGCTACTTAATAATGATTGGAAAGCTATTAAATGAGAGTAACATATATGGTTCCCACCGAAAGCGTGACTACACTACAGGTTCAAGCCACTAACATCGAAGCATACATATCGAAAAAAAGGACCTTAACACGTTTCGGACCGGTGCTGCACATGGTGCAGCACGCTGCTTTGAGGGATCTTTCTGGCGTTTGCAGGAGGTTTCCTTTTAGTCTAAAGTTGTTAAGTTAAAGGTCTAAGCCCTACTTTTCAAATGACTCTGTAGAGTTGTGCCGTCGATATTTGTTTAGGAGATATGAGCACAATTCGAACAACAGTTGCAACGAAGTGCGGCGACGCGAACGACGTGTGCGACGTCGCAACTTTCCTTTGCTTCGATATCAAAGAGAAAAACCGTAGGTTCAGTACTGATGTGTGCCGTGTACAACATAGGTACTTTTGAATACTATTAGAATCTGAGTTCTTGTTCCTATCTTTCAAGAAAGCACAAGAGTCCCTCTCAAGCGACAAAATTCAAACACTTCGAATTCACTCAGAACTTTGGATATGGAGCTTATCTGACATGCTGATTACAACTGTGGATCACAGGCTGGAAATAGGGTCTCTTTGTAGGCTAACGGCTGAAAGTACACTCTTTTTCGC